TGGGCGCGCGCGCAAAAATTCAAAAAGTCCCAACCGCACCCGTTTCTTGGTTTTCATACCGCGGCCGCTATTCGCCCGCGGGAGTTATTAACCAAACAAAATGAAAAAGCCGTTTCAAAAAGAAAACAAAAGCAAAAAGAAAGAAAAACCCCTTTCTATCCGCGTCCGTACTTCGGGGCTTCCGGGGGATTTTTCCTCAGGGATACGGCAAGCCGCGCGGTACGGATCTGAGCTTATCACACGTGCGGCCTGGGGGTCCCCAGTAACCGTCGGGCCCCCAAAATGGGGCCCGTGTGCAGGCTCAGCATGTAACAAAGCCTGAACACCATGTGGCCTTCTCGAGAGAAGACAGGATATTCACAGCTTGAATGTGCTCCCAATACACGTACATACGTATATCCACATGAGAGAGAGAGAGAGAGAGAGAGAGAGAGAGAGAGAGAGAGAGAGAGAGAGAGAGAGAGAGAGAGAGAGAGAGAGAGAGAGGTTCTGTAAGGGAAAGCCAAGAAGATTAAACGACAAGCAATTAAGAGAGTGTTGCAATTTGTAATGGGGGCGGGGGGGGGCAGGGGGGCAAGAGCACATCGTCGTTTAACAATCACCGTGGTGTTGGACACGCGTTCCGCTCTTCACCGGCGGAAAGTTTGAGGTGGTTCAAAGCAACTCAACAAAGAAAGAAGGATTTTTTTTGTTTTTTTCTTAAGAAAAAAAAGGGCGATGGCCTTGAGGTATTATCATCGGACTAACCAGCCCAGGTAAGTTTAATCTTGTGTCTAATCTGACACCAGGTGGCCTTTTCAGCAGCCCAGGGTGGCCTTGTTGCCTTCAGGGAACCCCCAAATGGGGGACACCAGCCAGGGGACAGCCCGTAGCAGAGTGACCAAGCATCATCGGAGTGGCCAGTCGCTGTGGCTCCCGGATTACCCCTCCCCCTATGAACATCAGCAGAGACTGCTCCTTAATGCCAATTGGGGGGACCAACGGGCTATCTCTTGGTGGTGGGCGCCAAGGTTGCCCACGAATGTACATGAGGCCAATGGGGATTGAACCCAAGACCTCCTGAATGCCACAAGCGTGCCTTACCAACTGAGCTACAAACACCAAAATGATAATAAAACAACTTGAAATAAAGAAATGAAGAAATGCCAATATGCCGTATTAGCCTGCTGGCTGGCTGAATGCCTGCACGCCTCCGCTTGGCGTCCTGGCTGAATGCCTGTACGCCTCCGCTTGGCGTCCTGGCTGATTCTTTTTTTTTTTTCTCTCTTTTTTTTTTCTTTTTTTTTTTGTCCTGGCTGATTCTTGATGCATTAAAATCAACGAAAAGAGTGCAGTATATTCTAGGAGGGATTGACCCTTCGTCAGATAGATGGAGAACAAGAAAAGGGGGAAGACGACAAGAGGTTGTCATGTATCGGATAGAAGGATATGCGCATGGACACTGGCAGGGCGTTAGATTGACGCACGGCTGGACATACACTCCCTTGGGCTGACACATGGTACTATTTACAGACACTGCCTGCGCACCACCCAAGGGTTGTTCATGGTGTTGTATGTTGGTTCTGGGTTTCACATGACTTGCTTGGGGGTGTTGGTCTTGGGTGTTCTGTTGACCTCCCCAGTCTGGCATATCACAAGTTCTTGCCATTTCCACTAGTCGTTCACATGGTAGAGTCATACGATTTCATGTTACAAGGTCACGGGTTCGAGCTCGGTTCGGACCTTGGGGGGGCTCCTTGTCCAGCTTACCCTGTTCTCTATACATACATGATGCTGCCTATACATCTCTATACATTGATTCGCAGACCACACACAGCCTTTGGGCATATACATGGCCTACGGGCTACATACACAAGTTTCCACACATAGTGCTGTCTGTACATCTTGATACGTAGATACAGGGAGCATACACAGCCTTCGGGTATACACATACATTGCGAACTACACAACTATCAGACTGGGGGTGCTAGCCACTGGGTGGGGTCTAGTATGTGCAGTAGGGACAGGTATGGGCCACCGGAGTTCCTAATGATATTTGGATAAAACTGTCTAGTGGCTATATATAAGGCTTAGACCCTGGCGTAAGGGTAGGGGTATAAGTCGCTCAGGCCAGTCCGAGTTCCGCCTGGCCTTGGGTAAGCTAAGGGAAAGACCGTAAGACTGCTTCAATGGGTGCTACACTGTCTGAGACCTAGGGCCCAGAGTCTATTGGGGCCTGTTGTAGATTGTCTGGGCCTGGCGTCCCAAGTTCCCGTTCGACAAGGCTCGTCCGATTCCGCTTCCACCAGGGCTGGGCTGGGCAACCTATCAGCCCTGGTGCCTATCACTGCTGTTCTGTCCAAGTTACCTGCCCACTGGTAGGGTAATGGTCCTGAGTGCTGGTCACACTGAGGTGGGATAGTGGGATAGGGGGTGCGCTGGGAGTGTTGAAGTGAGGATGGGATGGGAGGTGGTCTCATATTCTTTTTTTTTTTTTTTTTTTTTAAAAGGACGATGGCCTTGAGGTATTATCATCGGACTAGCCAGCCCAGGTAAATTCAATCTTGTGTCTAATCTGACAACTGTGGCCAGGACACCCGCGGCTCACAGCTCCAGGTATTCACTGTGCACTCACTGACTGGCCTCTACAACACCATGGACTTTTTGAGGTAAAAAAAAAAAAAAAAAAAATGGAAAAAAAAAAAAAGAAAAGAAAAAAGGATATGGCTATGGATGCCCAACGTGGAATTATTCACGTGGACTCAACCACTGGATTTATGCACGTGGATATATGCACGTGGAGTTATCCACTGGACTTATGCAGGTGGACTTTCCACTGGATATATGCACCTGGACGTACCCACTGGATTTATTACATTTCGAGAAAATGTCAAAATTGGAACGAGAGGGGGGGGGGGGGCGAAGGTGAGGACCTGCTCAGCCCTGATGCCTACAACCCCACTGTCCGGTCAGGTCGCCCCGGTCGGGATGATAGGAGGGTGATGATCCTGGGTGGTAAAACACTGAGCTAGGATCTTGGACACACACACACACACACCAGCTGGGAGGGGGCGCAGCGCTACCGGGAGGGAGCGCTGCGCCCCGGCAGCATCAATCATCAATCAAGGTCACCGCCACGGAGAGGAGCCGTGTAGCAAGGAAAATAGCGCGCGCGCGCTCGATGATTGCGCGCGATTGGACGCGCGCCCTGAGCTGAAAATTGGACCACCGGTGGTCTACGCTGAGGAGCTGAGGTGGTCCAAATTTCAGACCAAACGGTCCAGCAGATCACGAGATATCGAAGTTCTAGGGCGCGCCATGAAATTCGAGTGTGTCGGGCGATGAGGACGACGGGGGGATGGAATGGCATCTAACAACCTCAACACCTGCTGTTTCCTGACTTTTGAAAGCAGGTCTACTGCCATCTCTCTACTTTGCGCTTCAAACGAGTGATGCTACAGGATAGCATGCCGGATGAAGGAGGGTATTGCTTAGGCATTACTCTAGGAGTAATCACTAGTGCTCTTCATCTTGCGACTTTTGGTGGAGGAGGTCGGCTCGGCGCGAGAAGAAGAAGAGTACAGTGTGTCCCGTGAAGTGGGAGGAGAATTGTCAAGGGATAGTGAGTGGGAGGGCTTCGAGGAGAGAATCCAAGTTCCTTCAAGTGCTCATTACAAGGGGGAGGCTTCTACTCGATAGATCGTCATTCTTTCTGCTTCATCTACATGCATATCATCATCGTATCATCAGCTTCAGCAGCAGCAGTATTGTCATCATTATCATTATCATCATGATCATCATCATCAGTAACGAGATTAGTCATCATCGTCGCCATCATCAACATCATCATCATCACCATCATCTTCATGTTCAGCATCGAGGTGGAAAGAACGTGGCAGCGGGAGTGCTGGGCAACAGAAGGACAGAGAGGAGCAGCAGCAGCAGCATCAGCATTATCAGCAGCAGTAGCAGCATTTCTGACATCACCATCATCATTATGTCTATCCTTATTGGCGAGTCATCATCATCTTCATTATCAGCTTCATCTTCATCATCAGCTTCATCATCATCATCATCATCAGTATCATCATCATCAACATCATCATCATCATTATTTTCATCATCATCGTCAGCATAACTGACATATCATCATCATTATCATCATCAATATGAGCATCTTTATTGGTGCGTCNTCATCATTATTTTCATCATCATCGTCAGCATAACTGACATATCATCATCATTATCATCATCAATATGAGCATCTTTATTGGTGCGTCATCATCATCTTCATCTTCATCATCATCATCATCAGCAGCAGCAGCAGCAGCAGCAGCATCAACAGTAGCAGCAGCAGCATTATTGATATCATCATAATCATCATCATGAGTATCATCATTGGTTAATCTTCATCATCATCATCATCATCTTTATCATCAGCATCATCATCAGCATCATCATCATCTTTATCGATAACTTTTTGTTATCAGTAGAGTTTGCTCTTCAAGGCTTCGTGTCGCTTTTCGTATCATCATCAGCATTCCCGTTATCATTATCTTCAGGGCGATATCCTTCGCCTCCAACAAAATCAAAGAGGAATGTCAATTTGGTAAGGGGGTAGGGGAGAGCCTTGCCCCGCAGGGGTTTCATTACGAGGGAGGTGGAATCCTGAAGGGGGTATGGGCAGATTGTGAGGAATACTCTTTTCTGGGGCTGGGCATCAAATCCCAGCGGGGGCAGATTAGAGTAAAGGGAGAGATAGGGTAATGGAGAGAATGGAGGTGTGCTGAAATTCTGGGCTATCATCATCTGATTATTGTTATATTAAGCTTTTTGGTGTTCTGAAATTCTGGCTGCATCTCGTATTCTTCCACATCCAGGATATAGGTATTCAGAGATGGTTGAACCTGGACTGATATCTTTTGAGTTGCCCTGTTCTGTGCCCTTGGTTTGCCAATGCCAGAACGACGCTGGCCGGAGCTGGGGCGTTGCCCTGTAACCTGTAAATAGCAGAAGTGTGAGGCCTTGTAGAGAGATCTGGGGTTTGCTGAGGGTGGAAGGCATTCCAGTGGTAAACCGAGGGCGGCTGAAAGGAGGCGAGAAGAGATCAGCTATGGTTGATGTTGGTCAGGTTGTTTCTGTCTCTGTAGTATAGTGTCCTGGTACAGGGAGGGTTAGGAGTTGTACTGGGATTAGGAGCCCAGAATAGCTGATATAGCATCATCATCATCATCAACATCATCATCATCATCATCATCATCATCGTTATCATCTTCATCATCATCACACCATTAGTTTCATCATCTGATTATTGTTATACTAAGCTTTTTGGTGTTCTGAAGTTTTGGCAGCATCTAGCATTCTTCCACATTCGGGATATAGGACTTCAGAGATGGTTGAACCCGGACTGATTTCAACTGAGTTGTTCTGTTCTGTGCCCTTGGTTTGCCGATGCCAGAACGACGCTGGTCGGAGCTGGGGCGTTGCCCTGTAACCTGTTAATAGCAGGAGCGCGAGGCCTTGTAGAGAGATCTGGGGTTTGCTGAGGGTGGAAGGCAGTCTAGTGGTGAACGGGGGGGGGGCTGCAATGAAGCGAGAAGAGATCAGCTATGGTTGACAATTAGTTAGGTGGTTTTGTCGTTGAGGTACAGTGTCCTGGTATAGGGAGGGCTGGGAGTTGTTCTAGGATTAGGAGGCCAAAATAGCTGATATAGCATATTTTTCTTTAATTTTTCATATTTTTGAATCATCATTCTAATTAGCATCATTAATCAGTGTCATTAGTATCATCATGGTCATCATTAGCGGTTTCCATATGTTCATTCCGGGCAGACTGTGAGGACCCCGGCCTCAATCTTATTATTGGTAATATCAGCCTTGGTCTTGGAAGTAGGGGTGCACCAGGGACAATATTGAGAGTAAAAAGGTGGGAGGGGGTCTCATAGGGGGCCTACATACATCATCTGGATAAACAAATGGCCAACTACTGAAGGGGACTGTGGTACGCCTACCTACCGGTAGTATCCACCCTCTACAACAACCTGGACTTAGGAAAAAAAAGAAAAAGAAAGGGACGCATCATTAGACGTATAATAATAAACACGGGTGTGAGTGTGAGCGTGAGTGGGTTGTGTGTGGTGTGTGGGAGAGTGTTGGCCATAGCCTCTGTTGCTACTCGATGAAGGGTGGGGGACGATGAGAAAGGGAGGCACAGCTACTGGCAGGTCTCGGTCTTTGTGTTAGCCAGACCCCCACTGGCGGCCCCAACCCTATATCCTAACCATTAGGGGCAAGGGGCAACATGAAATCTCCCCTTCACAGAGAGAGGAAACTATGCTTGCAGGGGTCCCCTCTAGATAGTCTTAGGAGTAGGTAGTGGAAGGTAAAAGAAAAAGAAATTGAGAGAAGAATAGAGAAAAAAAATAATAATAAATAATAAAAAAAAAAAATAATAATAATAATGGAAATAACCGCGAACATGCGACTCTATAGGTAATCAAACACAAAAAAGAGGGGGAAAAAAAAAAGAGGAATACTAGTGATTGAAAAATAAAATAAAATAATGCAATAAAATAATAAAATAATAAAAATAAAAGCATTCGTATCTGAACGGGGAGGCAGGAAAGAAATCCAACTTACTTGGCTTATCTCCTCAATATTCCATTCCATCGTCCACGTGGCGATGATCGACGAGGGACTGATGACACACAAAAATCAAGAAATGATCCAAATTTCTTATTTAAAAATAAAAAATAAAAATGATCCAGTAGAGGAGAGGAGAGGAGAGCAAGGACTGATAGGCAAGTGCAGATAATTAGCTGTGTGCGTGTGCAAGGGGCCTGCTGTTGTTTCCCTATCCCAGCTCGCCAGCTCCTTGTGGTCGAATCGGTTTTTTGCCAGTCGATTGATAATTACAATATCGATGATAAAAAATAAAAAAATAAAAAAAAACATCGATGATCATCAGTATCAGCAATTTCTTATGCTAATCATCCGCTAAGTAGGTCCAAACCCCTTCGGAAGCAGAATGATAGTTTAGGTATCGAGGATCACTGGTAGCAATTGAAGTACTTTCTCACCAAGAATGAATGATAATGATGTGGGAAAAAAAAAAAAAAAGAATGATGACGATGATGGGACTTTGGAAGTTGCATGCAGTGTGAAGTTTTGCTGACGTGGAAGTAATGTTGACGTGGAAGTCTTGCTGACGTGAAGGTTCGGTTGAAAGTTTTGCTGACGTGGAAGTTGTGCTGGCGTGGAAGTTCTCGCTGACGTGGACGTTGTGATGACGTGGAGGCCATCAAGGCTGACTCTCAATTTCGCTTTAAGTGCTGAGATGGAAGTTTGCTGACGTGGAAGTTGTCCTGACGTGGAAGTCTTGCCAATGTGAACAGTCTGCTTGCGTGGGAGTTGTGTGCTGACATGGAGCTTCCTTAGGATGTCCTCCCTTCTATGAATCCCCCTGACCGCGGGTTGCCGCCGCCACGACCGCAGCTCGCAGCCATGTCCGCGTGGCTGCAACTTTCACGGCCACGTGTCGGCCAGAGAGGGAGGGGGGGGGGGGGGGGGGGG